AACTATTCATAATTAAAATAATAGCGTAAAGAGTAAAATTATACACTCATGAGTGTCAAGCACTAGAATAATTATTGCTTTGCTAAAATGTTAACAGCTACTAGAAAAAATTAAACTTAAATCGATTTAGAAGGTGCAGATGCATTATATTCATATACACGAAATTCGAGGTCAGTCATAATAATACAATAATAGAATAATGAATACATTTATAGTCATATTCCCTCAAGAAAGTTTAACTAACACTGGGAAATCAATAAACTTGTGATAAATCAGCTATTAGTCTTTCATCAAAGTCAAGGTGAGTATTCAGTAATAATAATAAAACAGCAATGAATACAATGATACACTCGTGAATGCGAGGCTTTCAATTGCTGGGTGCGGGTATATCAAAGTCGAGGTGCATTTGCAACACCACTTTCTAACTTGTTGACTTTTAGTCACGCGGCGCAAATCTTGAGGCATGCGAGGCAGCATTTTGTTTACTGTCGGCGCGCGTCTTTGGCGACATTTGCATTCAGCAGGCTGCTGAGAGTGGATATATATCTCGTATATATATACCGATGTATATATGTGCAAACTACTCCTTGTGAAGACCAAACACAACTGCGCTGATTTGCGTTTAAAAATTCGCTGTCAGCAGCAAAATAAAACTGCTGCATCGGCAGCTGGCGTGGAAAACATTTTTAATAACTAAAAACTGGCGATTTGTTGTTGCTTCTTGTTGTAGTTTATTATTGGCAAAAACTCATAAATGTGCGTGAGTGCTGCGTTTATGTTTAATTATAAAACAGCAGCCGCAGCAGCAGCAGACTCAACTCGACGTCTGAGACAAGCGGGCGCTATTAAAGAAAGATCCCCAGATACGAGAAGTAGTACATACACTAAGGCAAAAATCGCTCTGAAATTTAGAAAATTGTCATACATTTGGCCCATAGGGCAGCTCAGCTCGGATCTAAGAGATAAGGTTTCGAAAAACTTTCGATTTTACGGCAACTCAAACTCGAAACTCTAAAATAGTAGTCAAGAGATTTCGTTAGTATTTTCTGAATTTCAGAAAAAATTTATTTAGAAATGTTTTCTATTATTAAGAAATATATTTCTGAAAAATATAAACAAAAGACTTTCTAATTATATGAATTTATTGCTCCCTTTAAAAAATTATTTTTAAAATAACAAAATTTTTCTTGTGTTCAGCTCGATTTTCATTTTAAGGCGATTTCATAATTTTTGATCGATTTTTTTCTCAAGTGTATGTGCATGTAAATATGAATACGAGTGTATGAGAATTGTATGTCTGAGTTCAAAATGCCACAACCAAGAGAACAGCAGCTGCTTCATTTATGAGCATCCTCGTATAATCCACATCCATCAGTTTGTTTCTTGCCCAAGTTTTCGACGTGCCCAAATTGCATTTGCATTCGAGTTATGTGCGCTAATTTCACGTTATGAATTTTGTATTTCGCAAATTTGCGCATCACATTTTCTTGCCACGTTTTTCATTCTTTTTTTTGTTTTGTGTTTTGTTTTCTTGTCTGTCTATAACTGAATGCAAACTAAAAGTCTCTCGTTTACTTTTGGGATTTACTTGTAAGTAAATTATTGGCAGACTAGCCAGCACTAAATGGGTTTGTCTACCACCCAAGTCCCACGCTTTTAAGGAACACAGTGACGACTGTAAAACTCAAGTTTAATCCTGCAATTAGCGCACCCAAAACACAAAACTTGGCAAACTATTTGAAGTTCTTAAGATGTGTAGCCAAAAACTTTTTCTAAGCTCTAAAAAATAGGAATAAACTGAATATACAAATGAATCAAGAAACTTTCGTTTTACAACTATCCAAAGTAGAAAGTTTAGTCTTTGGTTTATGGAAAACTTTAATAATATTAATGAAATCTCATTTTAAAATTTACATCTCACATTGATTTTGATTTTCCAAAGCCACAGCATTGGCTTCTAGAATAATACAGCATTTTTGGATTGCAAAAATTACTTCGTCAATCTAGAAATTAATCATTTTGACACCCTACTAAGTTAAATAAAAATATATGTTTGCTTTGAATTAGACATGCAAACTGGGTGAAATGGTTAAATCAAGTAGTAATCTCTTCGTCGTCCCCCTTTCAATTTACACTGCATTGTGTGGAAATAAGTTAGACTCTGTCATAATGCGACACAAGTCATCAACAAAATTCACTTGTCCACTTTTTGAATAGAGGAACAGTAACTGATGCAAATTCCATGGCATTTAAGTGACTTGTGCACCAATCTTGAGTTAGGCAACTGATCACACTGGACAACAATACAATTGGAACCACAGCGCTTTGTTATTCAATCCCAAAGAATGGGTGTGGGTGAGGATGTAGGGCGAAGGGAGTGGGTGGAGTATAATCAAAATGAAAGTAATCTCCGGGAATTACGTCAAGAACAGCATTTGCCTGAGTCGCTTGGGCCAACTTATTGTTCTATTCTAGTTTACTGCTATGCTTAATATTCAACTTGATATTTTTTTGTTTGTTTTTTTTTTTTTTTGGGATCCACTTGAATTTCACTTAGGCAAACCCAAGTTGCCCCTTCCCCACACCTACACCTTGGCCCCGCATCTGAGTATTCACTGTGCTCTGCGTTGTTTTGCGGTGGTAATTGCACGCGCGCTGAAGCATATCGTATGTTGCAGGTTTCCGTTTGGCTGCTGCCAGCAACTGGGAGAAACGACCTAAAATAGCGGCGCAACCAAATGCGGAACATGAGCCGCGATTGCAACAACAACAACAACAACGAGAACCATTAACAACAAAAGGGGTTGGGGCCTCCCATCAATATTGGCCGCGACAGCTTTTGTTGTATTGCACGAATAGTACGTGTTGCAATCTCTAATAGATACAAGCAACAGATACAGCTATATCAACAACAACAACTAAACCTAGATGCACTCAGAAAAAATCGCTATCAATTTTAGTAAATCACTTAGCATTATTATTCAGAAAGTATATTTCATTATAAATTGCTAAATATCGGAAGGGTTTGTTTTTTTTTTAAATTAGGTTTTACATTTGTACTTAGGGAATATTTTCTAAAATATGGGAAATTTTTTTCTGAAAAAATAAAAAACAATTTTATTTTTTTAATTTTTGTATCCTATATTTAGAAATTATTTCTAGGCAACTTTTACTTTAAAAAGATTTTCTACATTTCTAATTATTTATTTTTTCTGAGTGTACAGATACAATTGCCAGCGTGCGTGAGTTTTGTGCGTTTGTTCTTCTTTCACGCTCGCTGCACCGGCCACAAACTCCGATTCAGATGCCAAGTCGATTCTCCCTCTTTCTCTCACTCTCTCTCTCTCTGTCTCTGTTCCTCTCGTTGTTGTTAAAACATGTTCTTTGTCATGCTTGCTTTGTGGCATAGCTGCCTCTTTTTTGTATACCCTGTACTAGTTGAAATTGAGAAAGTGACGAGCAGAAGTTTGGTTTCTACTTTATTTTACAAATGAAAATATTACAATATTTTATATATCCAATCTTCACTGTTTCCTTTGCTCTTATAGATTGTAGAGAATTGTAAAGGTGTTGTTAATTATTATTAAGTTGTACATTTATTTTAAATGTCTTAAACATACAACAATGAAAGCTGCCTCGAACTTTCGCATATATATTTTTATATTTAATTAATTGTAGTATTAGTTGTATATATATGCATTATAAAATTAATAAAGAAATGAATATTTGTCTATTTATATTTTTCAATTTAATGAGGATCAGCCAATAAACACAGAGCTTAATAGGAAAACATTTTCATATCTGTAGTTACCTGAGAAGAAGAATAATTATGTCTATTTTTTTGGACACTGGGTATCTCTTAGTTTGTGTATCTCGCTCTTACCACTTGCTTGTTTTTCAATGGACATTTGTGGCCATTGTAAGTGAATCAGAGCCAAGTGTATGGCCCCTGCGCCCTTTTGGCCCCTATTCCATTGGCTGTTAACGAAATGCGCCATTAGGGCGCAACCGTGCATAATTACATCTGTGAATGTATCTGTATCTGTGTATTCAGTGTATCGGTGTATCTGTGAACTGCGCCCCTCGTTTCTTTTCATATTTCTTCTTTTTTTTTTTTTTTTTGGTAACTCTAATTACACGCGCTATGATTGATGTTTGCTCTGGGATTCTATAGTTCCCAATTCCGCTGGCTTTATCATGCTTTTGAGCGTATTTCGTAATTATTTTTTTACCAGATTCTTGCAGCCACTTGCTTTGGGAATACCAAGCAACAGCTGCACTCACAAAATTTCGCCTGTGCACTTGCATCAAATTGAAAGCTCATAAATCTTGCCGCATACATACTATATATACTATATATTTGAGTTTATATATACCACAAACGAATGCAGCCCCAGTCCGACCCATTATAATTTGTCGCTCGACACGTCAATTATATAAATCGCTTGTATATGCTTGAAGTATACTGCTTGGTTCGCAACATTCCCAAACATAAATAAGGGCTGAAGCAGCTCAATTTTGGCATAATGAATCCGATCTACACTATCTTTTCTTAACTATAAGTGCACTAGAATCAAATGAAGAAATGGTTAAGTGTCCAGTTGGAGTGATTTTATAATGAAACAATAATATTAAAATAAACATTGTTGTAATTTTAATCAGGGAATTCCATATTTGTAGTTAAGCTAAATATTAGAGAGTTTCTTTTCGATAACCATTTTCAGCTCAAGCTCAAACATGAAAGGTCCAAAATACTTCGTATTTTGTAATACACGTTTATTAGCTTTACAAAATATAGATAAATATATATGTGGCTTTTGTACTACACAGCACAATAGCAAACAGCTTGCCCCACCTATAATACCCTCAACAAAAGTGTATTTAACAATATTTACGAAAGCCAAATATTTTGTTCAGTCGTTTTTCTTACATTCCCTTGGCTGAAATGCTCACAAAATAAATTTGAAAATAATGTGTGAATTTCTCTTGGCTCGTTTCAGCTACAACAACAATAAACTGGACGCCCAACAACAACCACATAAAGAAAGACAAATTGTCAATGGCCAAGTGAATGCATTCAGCACCCGCTACCCGCTACCCGCTACCCGCTGCCCACTGCCCCTCAATCAAAATACATGTGTGCGTGAGAAAAGAAATGAGGAGCTAACTTTTTTTTGAGGAATAAGGCCAAGTCGGCAGATTATTGATTTCTACAAATGTTTATACTAGTATTGCACACACGCACACAGCTAAAAAAAAAAAATAATAATAATAATCTAGTGATTGCATAAGACTCGAAAACGTGTTAAAAAATAAAAACGAAAAACTCGAAAATAAAAAAACAGTTGCAGCTGCCGTTGCGGCTACTTTGGTTAATTGATTTCTGTTGCTGCCGCCTGCAATGCCAAAGCAATGAGGCGTTCCAAAGCCAACAACAATAATCACAATAACAATAACAACAACAACAACAAAAACAACAACTTCACGAAACAACAACAATACAACAAAAACTGTGCGACAATTGCGTGCGCGTTTCGGGCGCGTTTTTTTGCGCGCGCGTTTTTTAATTAATTTAAAGTATTGTTGTTTGCCCTTTTTGTCAGGCGTGAGTGTGCGTGCGTGCGTACTGTCTGTGTATGTGTGTCCAGCCGGAAATCAGCAATTTAATTTACAATAAGACGCTTTCGAAGGAGCCCAAGTGGAGCAAAAACCCATAAAAAAAAAAGTAGCCGAAAGAAAAGCAGCCAAAATGTTCGCGGGCATCAAAAGAAGACTGGCACGCAAGTGAGTAAAACCCTCTGCCTAATTCCCCACTCTACTTAAGATTACGTTATGCCACTCTTTTGTCAACCATTTGAACGGCTTTTATTTTATCACTGCGCGTCCCTTTCCATATACCCTTACAATAATGTTTGGAATATGAATTTCTTGCTCTTTGTTATCTTAACATTGTTTTTGTTAATATGACACTTTTGAGAGATTTTCTAAAAAATATCCCAAGTCTGAAAATCCTCTGGAAAAATTGAGTGATTATCAATTTACTAAGCATTCATTTAACAATATTTAAAACAAGTTTTGTTAAAGCATAAATCTAGTAAAAATAATTTAAATAAAATAATGAATGATTCCTTTTATAGATATTGACAGCTTTTCAACTAATATTAATTTCGGTAGGCATTCTATCAAAATATTCAAGTATTCAACGCTTGGAAATATAAAACAGCCTAAAATGATTATTTGTAGGGCATAAGAACTTCGACCTTCTTAGAAAAAGCCGGCACTCCGATTTTTATCAATGTTGTCCCTTCGGTTTCATGGCCCAATTCCGCCGTTAATGACTTTCGCGATAAATGTCAGCGGGGGCGCGGGTCGCGTTGCTTGGGCGCTTTTCAATTTGCAAAAAGCGCCAAATCGGACACAAAAAATAACAGGAAAAAGGAAAAGAACAAAATCGGACACAACATAGAATATCTCGTATACTATTTGTCTAATTAATTTTGTTGCCCAGCTTGAGGCTGGAATTGAAACTTATTTGCGCAGCACTTGAGACGCTTGAAATGGGGGACACCTACAACGACCCCCTCGCCCCTTCCCCTCTCCACACCGCTTCATTCATGGCAGTCAGCAGAATTCACCGCTTTTGACATTGAAGCTCATGAAGTTTGCTGATTTGTGCAAATGTTGCACGTTTCGACAACAACAATCATCATCATTCATCATTCGGCGTCATCATTATTATAATGATTTTTTTACTATTATTTTTCGAGTGGTTTGCTTTTTTTTTATTTTTGATTTTGTAAATGAGCCAATTACCTTAAAATCTTTATTATTAGCTGATTGGTGGCCACAAACCGGTTTTGGAGTTTATCCATAAGCAAAATTGAATTATGCCACAAATTGATGGTTAACTGCCTTGCGGCTCATATTTTTTTCTTTTTGCAAGTAATTTCCAACCTCTTTCGCCTGCCCAAATTAACTGTTCGGCGTCAAAACATCATCCTCCTATCCCATCCATTGACGAGGCCTATCCGCACTCTGGAGTGCCATCATAAACATTTTCGTGGGAAACGTATTTTCGTGAAGTTGTGAACCCAAGCCGAATGAAAGCTTTAGAAAGTTCCAAGCGAAAGAATAGACGCTTAATTGTTTGAAGTGTGGGTGCAATTGTGGTGACCAAAAGATCATTGATCAAGTCGAATTTGAGACGAACATAGAACTCTTGAAATGACTTATGTTATTACAGAATTATTTCGAACTCTTGAAGTGTCTTCAAGAGAATTATTTTGATAAGCGGAATCATGAATTTTTCTTATTCTGAGAAATAAATTATTTATTTATTTGTAATCAATGATAATCGGCTTTCTGAGCTGCAAGTAGGTTCAATTTCTTCAGGTTTTCTCTTACCTCTTGAATGTGTCCATTAATTGCACATCTTAAAATTGTCCAGATATAAGAAATTTATTTAATTTAATCCCTGGAAACCGTTTAAGTACAACATTTATGAAATCTCCTTTTGAAAAGAAATTTTATAAACCTTACTTTTATAATTTTTGTCTAGCAACGCGATTTGACTAATTATACTTTAGCTGCCTTATTATAAAAATTTTAACTTGTCTAGAAATAAGAAAAGTTTTTATATAATTCAAAATTTGAAAAGGTTTTAAATATAACATTTTTCAAATCTCGTAAAAAGTCATATCATAAACTTTACTTTCACAATTTTTGCATAGCAATCATAATTATTTGAAAGCGTATTTCAACTTGTAGCAAGTATTTTATTTATTTATGTTTGTTCCCCCAATTATGCTTCACTTTAGAGTTTCGCATAAGGTACACACAAAAGTTTATCACATGCTCCAGTATTATCTACCTACGTAATTCACACACCCACTCTAAAAATGTTGAAAGTCCAGGGTTTGTGTGGCATGGATGACAATGACCAGTTTTTTGGTAGCTGCGGCTGAATGCTTGTCATGATGTGCTAATTATTACAGAAAAGTGCAGCCAAATGCCTTTTAGCACTTAACGTTGACTGGACCCACTCCCCTTAACCTCACCTTACCTTGACAAATGCCATCGAACAACAAGAGCAACAAGACACTTTGGGGCCCAGGTGCTAAAAACACCTGTGCAAACAGAAACCGAAACTCGACTTCAAGCCAAGGCAGAGGCCTATACTCTTGGAACTTACCACTTTTGTAGGTGGCACTCTCATCTGCATAGCCTCTATGTGTAAATAGACGCACACACACACACATATATATATACATATATATATATATATATGGATTTTGACTTAGGTTTTTTTTGGGGGGGCCCACACACAAATTTCATTGGAATTAAACGCTTAGATACTGCAACGCCTGCGATGACTCGCAATGGGGGCGCGGCGTAGCACATGTGGCAAGCGTGACTAAAGTTAAAAAAGACGAAAAAACACGATAATAATTACACAAAAAGACATAACACACTTTATTCAAACATTAAACATTAGACAAAGTTATGTGGGCAAGCAGCTAAAGTGCAGCCACACCGTTGGAGGCTGCAACAACAATAACCTCCTAGCCCCCCACCCCTCTTGGGAAAGCTGATGTCTTCTCACGCATATAGAAAATTAGCACTGAAGAAGAAAACTGAAGCTCAAGTCACGCTGCAATTGTTGCCCTGCTCGAAGAGTCGAGTCTGTGGAGTGTATCTATCCACAACGTATAATTACACGCATCCAAGTTACTTGAAAACTAACATTTATTGCATGCCTAATTATGATTGATACGGGAGAGCACAAAATGTGTTGCTTTCGACTAAAGATATACCCGGGACATAGTATAAATATATTTTACCCACGCTTCAGATAATATCTTAATTGCATAAATGCAAAGCATATTTCTTCTTCACTTGTTTGGTTTTCATGACTTCAAAAAACATAAGGGAGGGAAAGAATTCAATAATTGAACAGAATCTTTTAATATTACTCATATCTTTGAAGAAATATTTCCTTATTCAGTCAAAAACATATATAAAAACCATAAAATTTGTATAATCTTCAGGTGGATTTTCATTTTAGTGCAATTTTCTAACTATGTTAAATTTTCTCCAACTGAGTTGTGTAAATCTTCAAGATATTTTAGTTTTAGACTGAAACTTCAGCCAACAGTTTGTATACCTTCTCCAAATACCCCATGGCTACGGATATGAGAACAACATCCACAACAACAAGAGTTGTTGGATTTGGCGCCATTGTTTTTAGTTGTAGCAAGTTGTAGTTGTGTATGCCTCAAGCGGCGTTTTCCATTTTGTGCCCATTTCGCCTTGCTCTCATTGTTCTGCGTGTGGCTGTTGTGCGTGTGGCAGTTGTGTGTGTGTGTAAAGCGACTTATCAAATGTATCTTTTTCAACAACTGACAACTTCTGAGGCTGCACACTGTGCCACTTACATGGTTGGGCTTACGGGTTAAAAGGAAATGTGATGCAACAAAGCGTGCGGCGATGGGAACTAGCAGCAACAGCTACTGAATGTGTGCAATAGACATGTATGTACATTTTTGTGTATCTGTATCTACAGCGTTTGATAGCCTCGCGCTAATTTCAAGCTAAGATTACAACAACAACAACAACAACAAAAACAGAAGACAGAAGACAGAAAACTGGGGCTGCCTGTTGCAATTACCGGATATGCGCAGTTCTTGATAAACTACACAGCGTACACAATATATACCGCATACCACATACAACGTACAACGTACAACATACATATCACATACAACATACAACATACCACATACATATTTGTATTTTATGCCCTATCGTAAAGTTTTTTGGGACTTTTGCCTAATTGCTGTGTGGCATTTCGAGCGTACGACATTTGATAGGCTTGAGGGTAGCATTGACCCATTATTGTGTCATATTTGCCTGGCATGGTGTAAACAACAACAATTTTAAGGCTGTCTCTTTAGTTCAAAGTTCGCTTCCCCTCAGTAAGCCCAAGACAAGCACATCGTTTGTTAACGCTTACAAAAGAGGCTTACGATGTCTGTCTGATCGATATCAAGATACAGCACACTCCATCATTTACTACAGTACTCACTGGGATAGAGAACTTTTAGAATATTTTATTTTATATATATAGTTTAAATAATATTCAACTTTTTTGAATTAAAGTTTTATTTATATTACTCATAAAAATAAATATAATTGACTCTCATAAAAAACCAATGAATTAAATCATACTTTTTCAGCATGCAAATAAAATTCAATAAACAATCGATTTAAGAATCATTCTGCCATACTTTATACAAGCTTAAAATCTTTTACTTTTCACATAAACTTCAGTTAGGAGTCTTCAGCAGCTAGAATAATGTGTGAAGTGTGCTCATTATTGTGTTATTACTGTACTAGTAGACACAATGAGCGAGCTCTTTACCCAGGAGCTGCCTCTTGCAATTGCTTTGTAAGTTTGGCTCCCTTTTCCACTTGGCTGTCATAAATGCGCCATTAGAGCTAACAACGTATTTTCAAACTTCACTTAGACAACGCACCCACCACGTCCACCCACAAATCTCTGAACTCACCCCTCTACCCCTTGTCGCATTCACTGCACATATAACGCACACACAAAGAAATGAAATGCCATTTTATGCATTTCAAGTGCGTCGCCGTCTGTGCACTATCTCACATCTAAGTATCTGAATGCGCTTGTGTTTGTGTTTGTATCTTTGTATCTTTGTCTGTGGCTTGTGCCCATGCACATCCCGCCCCCCCCATCCTTGTGCCTGTCTGTCCGTGTG